TCAACATTGCGCAGATTTAATATAGTAGCTAATAATTTCATACCTGTGTTTCTAGGTACGAAATGCCTAAAATATAATTAATTGTTCGCAGTAATGCTATTCAAGGTGAGACCTGCGCTCATTCCTACTTCATCCTGCATGCACGCGTACCTAACATCCAGTGTAAATTGCTAACGACTTGTCATTTCACGATACGTCACTACTAAGTTCCGTTAAGCCAACTGTTTTTCCACTTTTGCCAACTGTAAAATACTGCCTACAGCTGCTGTAAAGAAGAATAGAACTATTGCTGCCGTCGAAATTGCAGTTGGAATTTGTTACCTTTTCAACATTCACATTGCCATGTTCTATGCCAATTTTCGAAATTTATCCTGTAATAATTTGTAATTCTTACAAAATAACGCAATTTATAACGACAATTCGATGTCACTCCGGCAAAAAACCTGATGATCCCATAGAAAGAAGCACATAAATGATGATCACAGAAAAAGAATAGCTTAGTTACTTACAACACTGGACGAACATATTCGCACACGTTTTGCTTGCAGCGACTTGGTGCTAATCACGCTGTCGAGTGTCGACTGCCACCTGCCGGTAATTCTCAACTTTCGATTCCACAATTCTATTCAATCGCCGGATTCATCAATCATGGTGAATTAGAAATTAGAACCTAAGGCATGTGAACACGAACAGCTCATTTAACACGCTCATGTAGACATACCCCACGTTGAAAATTTCTATGACTGCAGAAATCTTCGCTGGACTAAGTTCTTGAGTGCCGGTGCCAGGTTTTCCAACGAACAACGCTCCGAGAATCCCGGGACAATAAAACTTAGAAATCTTATAAAAATCTTATGAATTAATATATCTATCCGTTAAAACCAATTATTTTTCAAGTAGCATATTTCACTATCCACTGTACGATTACAAAACTGAAATGAGAAGCGTGTGTCACTCCATATGCGAACAAGACTAGCGTAACTACGCAACTGCCGCCAGCAGTCCAGCACTTGACTAGCAGCCTCGGTGTTTGCTCACTCCCCCTACATATCCACAAAGCGGGGTAGTGGAAACCCCCAACTAATGGGGGAGTTTAATGAGTGGGGGTTAAGCATTTTACTTGTCTAGCAACAAATTTTGCGCAGCGAACAGAATTAAGTCATTATATTAAATAAAAACCGTAAATTATACGACTAAGTTTTGTCATAGATGTCGTTTGAACCACTGAATATAGTTCGTCTTAATTAATTTCTTTGAAAACTAGCGAGGTACCATGATACTTACGTCGCGATTGAGTCATGCCCAACATGCGCAAACCGTCATTGAATAAAATGATCATAATTCACCGACGGAATTATGTGAACCGCACCACAATATTATACAATTGTGAACCTCAAATGAAAATATTTAAATTTTGTAGACCTTGTTTGAAAAACCGAATGTACATTCCTCAATGCCTATCATCAGGCAATCAATATCACAATATCAAGCATTTTTATTCCAGAATCATTGTGACCTAAAGATTTAATAAAACATTTGTAGACCTTGAATAACCGAGAATCCCGGGAAAATAAAACTTAGAAATCTTATATAAATCTTATGAATTAATATATCTATCCTTTAAAACCAATTATTTTTCAAGTAGCATATTTCACTATCCACTGTACGATTACAAAACTGAAATGAGAAGCGTGTGTCACTCCATATGCGAACAAGACTAGCGTAACTACGCAACTGCACTGTCATCACAATATATCTGTTGCTTTTTTTTTTTGCTAATTAACAACTTACAGATTACTCATGCATTTTATGATAAGAATTTGAAATTTATCTCTTTGAGCTGCAAGCATTACGTTTAATACTTCCACGTACTTATCAAGTATTTTTCTGCTCTTGCACCCCTTAAACATACATATTTCCATGCCTTCAAGCAGCCTGTGTTTTATGAAGATAGCCAAATAAATTCAGATGTTTTTGTCCTATAATTAATGAAATTATTATCTTACAACGCGTAAGCTTAAAAACTTGGTAAAATCAATTCTCATTTCATTCCATCGTATGCGTAGACAAACGTACGCGTGTACATACATATATTGACGCCATTCCATGAGCGAGAGATGGTCATGGTTCGCTCCAATAATAGCGTCTGACATGAGACTGCTTGACCAGCAGCTATTTTTGGTTATGTTTCGCAGATTCGGCCCATCGTGCATTAGAGTCCGCAGTAAGCTCCTCATTTCCAGCTGAATAGGGTAGGTGGCCGATTTGAAATTGATTTCTCTCTAAGCCGAGTCGATGGCCGGGGCGACCTTGAGTGGAATCCGAAATTCGACTGGGAATCCGTACCGCTCAACAGCCGCCAGAGGAAGGACCAGACTCTCGTAGCTGTCTGACTTGGGATTGGAATGTCCCTATCGAAATTCGAAGACCTGTCAGCCGCTGGCACACGGACGCCCCAAGTTCTTATGGCAGTGTAAATTAGAAGCTCTATGTCCGCTTTAGGTTCCGGTTGCCGTAGCGAAATAAGCGCCGAAATAGAATCTTATGAAATTCCTGTCGAGCTTGGGGCGCGCGTATTTGGTACCTGATACGTTCGGGACAGACACGGCCAAATCTGAAAAATTCGTTAAAAAAAATGCCCCCTCCCTTCCCCCCTTTATGGGGGGAAGGGAGAGGGAGAGGCATTTCAATAACTGGACGTTATATTTATGTGCAGTCTATATAGTACTACTCGCTTAGTTTTAAGATCAGAGCACCGTCTATCAGAGGCTCAATTTCATGCAAAGACGTTTACAGCTAGTAACTATTATGACATGGCGTGGTTAGAAATGAGGACAATAATCGTAAATAAAAAAATGCAATCGATACATCAATAGCACTGATTCGAGGTTATGCAAGTAAAGCCAATTTCTCCTATTAAATCCATGTATCCTGCTGAATGAACGTTTTGTTTAAAATAATCGTTGACTTATTTGCCGTTTCATGTCATGAAACTTTCGTCACATTAAATTTCTATCGAGCAAACGGTTCTGCAAGGGCCTCGAATTTCTGCGTCCATTGACGAAAGAAAGACCATACAATAGAATGGAGAAGCACATTTTAACTTAACAAAATATAATTACAGCACACTTCATAGCAAATTAGGATCTTTCTGCATCCATCGTCGGTTGCTGCAATGACAGTATTAAGTTTCACATGTGGTTCTTCTCACGCATTAAAGTTATCAGCTGCACTTTAAATTCCTGGAGAGACTATCAAATAAATAGCAGAATATACGATAGTTATGGAAATCCTCAATTCAGATGTATTGCTCACAGAGGGGCTCCTTGTTATCGATAGTTCATAAACTATCTTCTGCTTGAGCAATAAGCTCACGCATGCAGACATACGCCCAAAGCTGAATAGTTATTTTGTTGAAGAAACCATTTGTCTAGCAAAAAATTTTACCGGGGTCTGAAAATACTGCTTGCAACTGTTGCAAAATGATGAATAGAAGCATTTCTAACGTCTAATACCATTCCAATATTGCTGAGCTCGATGGAAATTTCCTGAATCTATCCTCGTATAATTTGTAGTTCTTCAGAAATAACCAAATTCAGCCTTATACTTAAATATAACTCCACAATGAAACCTGATGATACAACGAAATATAGTAGATAGAACAGAACAAAAGCAACTAACTTACTTGAGAATAATCAGTATACGCTCTGCAAACTGTTCCATCCTGTTCAGCTGGCCCGCCTAGTGGTGTCGAGTGTTGTCTGTCGGTTAGGTAGCATCGTAGGCAATGATAAACTTTCGAGTTTCGACTACACAAATAGATCCAGTTGACGTGTTGATTTAGAAATTAGAACCTTAAGCATATAAACAGGAGCAGCTTAAATAACATTCTCGTGTCGACATGCCCAAAGTTGAAAATTTCTACCGCAGCTAAATCTTGAACACACAAATGCGTAGTCATGATGAATGTCGCCTGCCACCGAGAACTTGAGAAGTACCTATTGCAACGAACTGATCAAATAACTGATTTAAGCATATTCCGCATGAAATCTCATATTGTCGAAAAAAGAACTTGCATCGTATAATTGCTGCGTTTTGAAAGAAGTGATGGTGAAAGATACACCATACAACTACATCTTATTAATAAAATACTCGTTGGAAAAACTAACAATTTTTCCTTCATAATTTAAATTTTTCAGTCAAATACGTCATAATTTAAGGAAGACAACACAATCGAAAAGTGAGTGTTAATCTTAACAAAGTCAAGTTACTGCAGTAGCTTGATTGCAGTAAACAGCCATCCGATCACACTCAACAGGAGTCGACTATTTTTTTTTTTTTACGTGATTTTTAGGGAGTGTTTCTGTAATACAATACATGCGGTAGCGTCATCAGCGTTCGACCAGGGGCATCATGACGAAGCTTGACCAGCTGCTCTTTTCAATCATATTACGCAGATTTGGCCTACTGTGCAATTGACTTCCAAAAGAGGCTGGTAAATAGAAGCAAAACACCCTACGTGGCCGACTTGCGCCTGATTCACCCCTAAGCCGAATATAGTTCCTCTAAAACGACCTTAATCGGCACGAAAATTTTGACAGGGTGCTCCTGATTCACCCCTAAGCCGAATATAGTTCCTCTAAAACGACCTTAATCGGCACGAAAATTTTGACAGGGGTAGGATACACAAATGAGGACATTAAGAAGCTGATTTACTATGCTCCCCGAGTCTTAGATGCTCCCTAATTCAGAGCCGCCCTCGGCTCTATATTTTGTTAGGGACTTTGCTCGATGATCCATACTTCGTTTGATTTTCAAGTTACCGTCCTTTCCTCTCTGCAATGCTGAAACTAATACTCTTTCGTCTGCTCCCTTAAGACCCCTCTCCACTTGATGTGATGAATAAATTTTCATTTTCGAAAATGTGTTTATTTTCTCAATTAGTCTCCTATAGACTGTACCTGTGGTACTAGCGTCTCAATTATTGCATTTATTTTCAGGGTTCGAGGTGTCAAGAATTTACGAGTCATAGACGCTTCTATAATGCCCTCCATTACATCAGGTAATGAAATGTTCTTCTTTCCTATTATATCAATTTTCCAAGCATACGTAATTTGAAAATCTTAATTTTGTTTGAAAAAATTGTTTGGAATTTTGGATGTATACTTTTTCATACTCAATTGCAAATTAACAAGCTATTGGTTTTCAATTATTTATTCTAAAACTCCGACTAATGAGACAAGACTTTCTATCCACTGCAGGGCACATAAACGCCGTCACATTCATGATTGGGGAGAAGGGAGCTGATCTCATCAAAGAAGATTACGGCAAAATCTGATCGCCATTTAAGCTAAACAGTTTATTTATCATTAGTTTTTTTACGTTAATCAAAATAATCCAGTGTCTGCCTTCGGATTTTAATGCTTTCTATGTTTGAAGGAAAAAGAGTGGTAAGTCCAAGTGTTACAAGCGGCCTACTCGTGACTTCTTCTCCTTAACCCGTCATCAATCAATCAATAATGAAAAAGACTACAGAATAAACCTGTAAAATAATTCTCAGCAAATTCACGTTTATCTCGCCGCGTTTGTCTTAACTACTCGATTGAGGTCGGTTTTTATTTTGAGAGGCATTCTTTTACTAATTCAAATACACATGATTCGTCCGTATCATTAGTAAATCATCTCTGCTCATGTTAGTTTACGTCTCATGTATCTCGGTACTTATCAAGCTATAATTTTATCATAGATGCTCGACACACGGCGTCTTCTATGCAATGATAAACTTCGGCATTTAGTTCTTGTTTATCATGAGCCACTACGCAGGCAGTCGTAAAAGCAGTAGGAATTGCAAAAAACAAATTCGAGTTACCATTAAATGTTTGCTTCATAATTTAACCATTATAATAATGATACCGATTTAACGCAAAAATTTTGTAGCTCATTTTTTGTAGACTTGGTTACTGCGAGCAAAATTCACGCAGCCATTTCAGAAGTCGCTACTCTCATAAATAACAAAAAACAACATAAAATTTGTTCAATTTGATATGAAGTTATCTAACACTCGTGTGGCAAGTCTTGACTGCGCAACGTGGAGAATAAAGACAGCGAGTTGAGACTAGTGTTTCAGAATCTTTCAGCGGTGAGAGCTCAACTACCAAGAATTGCGTACGACATATTTGTTTCTAGGTAGAGTGTGGGAACAAGTTATAGAATGCACGAATAAGTAGAGAGGGAATGAGTAGAGTGGGAATAAGTTAAGTGTATCAATGACCAGTGGGAATAAGCAGAGTGTGGGAATAGGTAGAGTGTGGCGATAAGTAGAGTGTGGGAATAAGAAAAGCAAGAGAATAAGTAAAGTGAGAATAAGAGTGAGGGAATAAAAAGTGTAGGAAAAAGTATAGTGTGGGAATAAGTAGAGTTTAGGAATAGTAAGAGTGGGAATAGGTAGAGCCTGAGAATAAGTAGCGTGGGAATAAGCAGAGTGCGGGAAAGGGCTATAAGAGCAATCACTATACCATAATAAGCGTATGTATAATTTGGGATTGCATGGCGTGTGACGCGTCACTGCCGGCCTAAATTACGGGAAGGTATCAGAATGTATCTGATATTTGGGCGTAATTTCGACAGGGGACACAATGCCGGAAATACTTACAGTTGATCTGTTATGAATTTGATTTGATGGGACAGTTCATGTACATAACATTCTCTCCTAATTCCCATTTGTAAAGCAACGACAATAAATTTCAAATTTAGCTGAGTACAATGTCATTAAAATTATGATTGATCCTGATGATCGAGCATTTAACGATTATTTAAAAGCTTTGAAATACGAGTAAATTTGGGCACTGCAATATTACTACAAGTGAAATTGATAGGGCAAATTTTAATTTCTAATCATAAACCATAGTTTTAATGTACAAATTTGTATGCCGGTGAAATAGTGAATATATATGTTCGAGTAAACTTTTGTGAATACTGAATTGTAAATGAATTTTTTAACGTGCGAACATCTGCAATACTAGCAAAGGTCTCTTTGTTGAAGCAAATGCGAAGGTAACGTGCAAAAAATGGAAGGCCACATAAAAATCTTTATGGGCCCACAGTTATTCATTTGTCCACGCCAATCTTTGCACAGGTTATTTACCAGCAAAATTCAGTAAATGAATTGTGACAATGGAATTTTTTCACTTATATGTCGCCTTCCTCTCAAACCTTCGATTTTCCAAATGCATGAACCGAATGAGAATATTAAACATTACCTTTCATTCGTCTGGACGAAGTTATCGGAACGAAGCTATGTTGCAGGGTGACCCAGTGGTTACAGTTCTGAGTACCAGATTGGAGCAGAGAGGCGCGGGTTCGATTCCAGCTCGTTGCGACAGTTTCTGGTCAGAATCGCCAAGGATCGAGGCCTGGCGGTTAAAAGTAAAAAGAAAATTTGAAGCAGGGACTTGCGGGTTCAAGCCCGCAACAAGCTGTGGATGTTCTGCAATGTTAAGAATCGGCGGCAGGCCTACGGCCTAATAAACGCTGATACCGCTATATTTGTGCTCCAAACAGTTTTGAATGATTTTCCGAACTTTTTGAGGACTTACGCAAACTTATTATTTAGTTTCTAATACAACAACATTTTTTATCCCTATCTTAATGTAAATTTAAGATTATTGCCTCGAAAACCTACGTTATTTGTGTTTTTGTCCTATCATTTTATTGTACATGGTAAGGGTAATTTATGTCTCAGTTTAAAATCACTACCAAGTCGGCTACACATTTGCTAGGGCATTCAATAAAAGTTTTTGTTTTTCAAATGTATACTCATATGAACCTTAATTGCTTACGTTGGCATGGTTTGTCTTGTAGCTTGCATAGTTTTTGGTTTACGGTTCGCATATTCTTTCGTTCATGTTTCGCATATTTTACTGTTCATGAATCTCATGTTTTTTTATCCTGCGGGTATAAGATGATCAAGACCACAGCGTAAGATGTGGCAAGGACGTGTTGGAGGTGCGCGGTACCATTGAACAAAATTGTTCCAGTTTTTGCCGAAAAGAATTCAATGACAAGACGAGGTCCGCACGCGTACGCAGACTTGAATGTTTCCTGAAAATTTTTGCGCAAGCAATTCTATCTTTGAATGGACAACCATGAGCGAAGGCAGTGCTGTAAGCATTTTTGTTGCTGATCAAAAGTCAATACAATTATAAATTGAAAAGGAGTTTCAATGAAAGAGTCCACAAGTGCACAAGTGGAACAATGAATACTCTGCAACATTGGTGTTCATGTCAATAATGAGTTATTTAATGTTTTTAAATATTCCTACCTATATTCTTGTCTCAAACGCGACTTCTGGTGACTGAAGATAAAAATAATTTATTCAGCTGATATGTTGAATAGGATGAAAGGCTAAAGGCATTTATTTCATTTGTTCGACTAACTTACAAGGCAGCAAATTAAATACAGTACTAGTAAGATGCTTACATGATTAATCAAAGTTCCGAAAATTATAGCCGCTGCCATTGCACCAATAAACCAACAAAAAAATCAAAAGAATCACATTTTTAGCGGGCTGTCTCAAGTCTCTACTTTCGCCCAATCTTGTTCTCAATTCTTTTCGTACGATGCAGTGAAATTCACTAGCACATGAAAATATTACGCTGACACGCGCGGAAAATTTTCTGATCTTTTAATCTACAGCTACCAGAGCTGTCTTAGATCATGTAATTAGCTTCGATCCAATAGTGCCTAAAACTGAATTTTGAAGTAGAACTAGTTTAGTTAGTTTAGTGGCCAAATGTTTACTAGCGCGTCAGCTATTTAGCTATCTCGCACCGAAAGTCAAGATGAACATCACCATAGAGGTGGAAGGTCTCAATTATTCATCACCCACAAGGGGCGGAAGGTCTCAGATGTCCAGCCCGCTGAAACTGGCTCGAAAGAAGCAGCGTTAGCATCTCCAAGAGACGAAGTGACAAGGAGGGACAGGTGAAAAGCATCAGAAAAGAAGACACTCGAACAAGAGGTCGCTTACACGGGACGTCGGCCGCCCGCACGAGAGAGACAGAGAAGGGAAATGTAAGGAATCCTACCTACATAATAACTTAACCCCACAAACTGAGACTTGCAGTCAGACACCGCGGCTCAGCGGTGGGGCGCTCAGGAACAATCCCCCTAGGAACGCGAAATCCCATAGGACTTCTGACGAGCACAGACACCCGTCAGAAGTCCCCCCTGAGGGGGAAGTAGAACTAGTGAGAGTCTCAAATTGAAGCACGATTGTGTAACTACGCAACAATTGTGTAATATTTTACTTTCTTGTCCAAATAGGCTTTAGAAATCCCATCAGAAACGTTTTAAATGTTTGACTGACTTCATTTATTGGATTTGACAGATAATATGTTGCTTCGTTAAGATTTAAAAGCACTTGTAGGCGAACTTGGAATAAAGCTATGACTTATCTAAAATAATAAAATCTGAGATAATTAAACAATCTAATTACGTAACTTACGTATATCACTGAGCATTTCATTTGAATCAACATAATCGTTTGCACTTCGATCGCAATAGTTTGGGCACTGTCCGGGTCTGTCCCTATATAGTTTCGGTTAGCTGACTCACAATCAGCTGACCTCCAAATTGGATAAACCTCGAGATCTCTGGAAATGTTTTTCTACCGTAAACATATTAACAACCCAACAGGCAATGCCAGGTTGAATCAACGTTGAAACAACAAAACTCAAGACGTTGATATAACGTTGAATATTAGTTTTGAATGAAAATTAAAGCAATGTAATTTTTACAAGGTCGTACATTCCGACGTTGTTTCAAATTTGAATTAGCGTAAAATTCCGACTTTAAAATCGCATATATTTATTCGCGATCTTACCGTCAGATGTCAAGGCGATTTTATCGTTGCAACGTCGAAATGAAAGACGTTGAAAAAATGACGTTACTTCAATTTCATTCTAAACTAATATTCAACGTTATATCAACGTCGTGAGTTTGGTACGTTGTTTCAGCGTTGATCAATCTGACATTGCGTGCTGAGAAGAGATAATGAAAACGCGGGTGGAAATCCCATAAGAATCCTTTTAATAGCCTTACATGACGTCCTTGAATGATAAGGCAAGGAAACACTATTTGTTAATTACATTATATATAGTTACAGCGTACCCAGTCAAAATACAGAAGCAGCTGTCGGTCACCTTTCGGTTGCCACTTTCGTCTTAGAGATTATGTAGGTGTGAAATGGCCGCCTTCCCTATTCAGCCGCTCATTAGGAGCTAATTTGGGTAGTTCCATGGTAAAAAATATAAGGTTCAATTGACACACGAAATCAGCAGCTGGTCAGGCTACCATATTGGCTTACCCTGCTCAGTAGCTGGCATGAGTTCTAAGCGCGAGCGTAACAAGCCCCTGCCTTTAATACTGACGTTGCATGCGCATTGTACATGGGTACGAATTTATCAACACGCGAGCGTATCAATAGTCCTGCATTGCGTTTTCGTCAACATGCTTGCTTTGCGTTATCTTTGTATGACATTGCATGCGTGTACGTAACACGCTTGCATTGAGTGCGTGTTGCTTACGCGAGAGTTGCGTGAGATTCATAACGCGTGCAATGCGTGCCTGTCAACGAGCGTGTTTTGTGTGTACATAGGAAAACACGAGGGCATTGCGTTATCTTCAACACGCTTACATTACTTTTATGTCAATAGATGTGCTACCAGTACCCGCCGACACGCGTTTTCAGCAGCGCATGCGTGAACAGCGTCAATACGCGATTTAACGCGAACATTACTTCTCTGTTAATACGCTTGTGATGTGCGTATATGTAAAACAACACGCGTGCATTTTAGGGGGGCATTTTTTCAACGCATTCTTTAGATTCGGTCGTGTCTGTTCCATGCAAACGTATCAGGTGCCAAATAAGTGCGCCCCGCTTTCGCTCCACGGTTGTCAAGGAATAGACCAGATCCTGATCAGGTGCTTATTTCCCACGTACAATTAGAACCTAAAGCGGACATAGAGCCGCTAATTTACACCGCAAAGCGCTCTTAAACCGTCCTTGAGACAGCGGTTGGAAGTAATCAAAATTTTGATAGTGTATAATGCCGAAGATTAGTCCTAATAAGAATATAAATAAGTTCGTTCAATTAGGACTGCTCGATCTTCGTTTGTTCCCATGTGTTATTCATAATCTTCTAATTATTCTCCTCCTTAAAAGATGTGGTTACGCCGATGGCTCGAGGAAAATCTCCATCCTGATTTCCGTATAGATCCTCTCAAGCCTATGATTTCTATTTGTAATTTACACTCACTGCATTCAATTTGAAGTCAGCACATTGTCCTCATGTGCCTATTCTGACTAGAATGTAATTAGAGATGATACACACGTTTGTTAAGTGCAATTAATGAATATTCTACAAGCAATCATGCTGGCTTGAACGTCGAAATACTGCTGTGCATTGAACAGTCATAAAGATCGTGAAAGCTAGGGAGGCTGGGAGGAGCGCGGTAGAGAGTACAATTAAGTCTCAGCTTTTTATCGCATTATGCTGCACTCTGTGCTCTAGTTCAAAGAACAAGGAACGAGTTTGCAGTCTGTTCCAATCCATATGAACTTCCAAGAATTCTATCACGGTGCTGACAGTGTATTTAAATCCAAACATCGTATAATCTACAAAAATCTTACAGGTAGCATGCATCAATTAGAAGTCAAACCAACTCATGAACGGTGATTATTCGTGGGGTTAAAGAACACACAAGCACATCTCATCTTTCTTTAACTGGCATGAATTATATTTTATATTTCTCATGATTTTAATAAGGATAAATTGTCTTCGTCAGATAAAAATCAAATCGAAAAAAAAAATAAAAATAAAATAACCAAAGCAAAAACGCATCACAAGGACCTTAAGGAGCGTCAGGCCCACTCATAGTTATAATGAACTTAACGATGCTTGTTGGTAATTTTTTTAATCTATGTACCAAATTGGCTGCTGTACTTCTCTAAATTTCAATGTACCCATCCGCATTTACTTTCTCCTAAGCCTTTTTTCGGAGTATTCAAGCAAAAAGTTTTATCGGCCAAATTGTTTTCAGGGTCTAATTAATTTATTACCAATGCTTACCTCATCGACGAAATATAACTGAAGATTTTTATGGCCGCAAGATGAAACTAATTTGAAAGCTAAATTTCACTTAACCAAAGGCTTAACTATTTCTGCTCCACACACACATCTATGACGCGTATATATCACGACTCTTTCAACGAAACCGTCAGATGGTGTGCTAAATTTTACCGAGCAATGCAGAGAGCAGCGCAACTTCTTGATTGTTCCCTCTAAAAACAGAATAGCCTTGTAGCGTTCACGGCAAACCTTCCTTGAGCCAATGCATTCGCACGGATAAAAACTGGTCGTATATCTGGCTATTAAAGCTGCAAGACCTACCAAACCACACTTTTTCTTAGT